TCCGGAAGCAGAAAATCCAGGTTCTGGCAGCAAGGTTTCCGAGCATCATGAACCCGAACGACACGAGGGCAGCCAGGGAGGAAATGACCAAGGCTGGCGTGGATCGGGACGACATCGACAGGATGTTCAACAGATGCGATGGATGGTACAGACCTTGGTGCATCCGAGTCACAACCGGTCACAGTGATTTGGATTCATGAGCTCATCCGCACTGGCGAATAGGTATTCCGCAAGAATGGGTGATACTCTCGGAGGAGCATTCCATGTGACGTATGTGGAAAACCTGCCAAGCATCGTACGCTGTGGGCTAGTCCCCGGCGGAATCGATGGCGGTAACAGGCTAGCACTGCACTTCGGGGCGTTTGCTCCATGGGATGAGATGAACGTGGCGACGAAGACAACGCTACGGAACGTGAGGAGAGGGGATCCGATTGCGATCATCTATATTCCCAGTGCAACCCTCGCGCGGTATGGGGCTGGAGTCGCGGCTAATGGGACTTTCATGGTCTTTGACGTGATCCCGTTCTATGAGGTCAAGTCCATTTGGATTGGCAAAAGCAACGGAGGGAAGCGCCTGGAGTACGCTGACATCAAGAGGGCGTACTCGAAGTGTGTGGAGAACGAGATCTGCCCTGGCTTTGTCAACTCTTCCCAAGAGTCGGCTGCGATGTTCCTCCAGAACGTCGCAAAGATCAGCGAGAGGATGCCGGAGACTGAGACAGGTGCCGATAATCTGCACTACATCGTTGACATGGTTAATCGTGCCTGCGAACTCTATCGAATCAACAAGATGGAAGAGTTCAATGCACAGGTCAACGAGGTCCGGGACGAAATCAGCAAAGTCGTCATCCTGAATGACGAGACATGGGAAGGACTGAGGTGCCGGATATGTCCATCATGTGCGACCGCGATCCCCACCTGCTTCTGCTTATGCCTGGAATGCGAAGCGCAACTGATCTCCATCGGAAGGTACTACATTCACATCAATTCCGACGACGAGGAGGACAACCAAAACCCCAACGTCTCTGGAGATGCCAGGCGTGCACAGGAAGAAGCTAACCACGATGCGGCAGCACAGGAGGATGAGGACGAAGCGGAGGAAGTTCCGGGAGAAGATGACGACATGGACACGCAAGGATATACATCCGGCTATGCGTCAGAAGAAGAAGACGGCGGTTGGCATTACCGCGACACCGATCTGACGTCACGGGACATTATAAGTTCCCAACGGATGGCGATCTGCCTTGACGAGCCGCGTGAGGCTCAGTACATGGCAGGATTTATCGCACTCCAGCTGTCCAAGATGTGGGGGATGTTTGAAGGTGGTGAGGAGAGAACGATGAATGCCGGACTCGAAGGGAATCCGGGCTGCCCTTATCACAATGATTTCAGGAGGTACCCCAACATCACTGAGCATGATCAGGAAGGTATACTTTTGCCATCAACAATAACGAAGATTTCTCAATCGGAGAATGTTCGGACAAGAGCCTTCCGATCGGTTGAGGAGCGTGACGAATATATTCGTATGATGGTGAACAAATGCGAGGGACTATACACATTCTACAAGCTGTGGATTGCAGCAAGAATCCTCGATGTCACCAAGGAAGAAATGAAGCTCCTGGTCAAGGACCGAGTGCACCCGGTGGGTGATATTATTTTCAGATGTTTTGCACTAGCTTTCAACTGTAAGTATATATCATTCGTGAGGGATGGCCTGAACCTTGGCAAACATGGTTACACGGTCAACGTGAGCGCCATCATCTCGGCCGTCGACCCGAACAAATGCGACACACCCCTGCTGGATTGGTGCCTTCGGAAAGGGCACTGGTTGCCAGAGGACTACAACAAGAAGTGTGTCCGGGCACGAGAAGCCCAGAAGAACTTGGACGAGGAGTTCCGCCGACGTACCCATAGGCTGTCCATTGGGGACAGGTATGCTTCGTGAAGATGATGATTGCGGTACGATGTGGGCCAGTCCCCATCTGTTACTTGCGTCACATCGACACTGTTTCGGTGGAACGACTTATGTCATGATTTATATTCATGTGTCCAAGATGAATGGATGTGTACATGGTTACATATTCCGACGACTATGACGCTCTGGATATTCATGGATGGAATTATTACCTTATAGATGATATCTTTTCATTATTTATGCATTGTCCATGGTATCTGGAATGGCTACGATTTGCATTGATTACTCACCGATGTTTCTTTGCCGGAGATATGCAGACCGATCACAAGCGGGCGCGTCTGGTGGACTTTTGTGGCCAACCCATTTATGGATGACAGCTGCGCGATGCGCAAATGCGGCAGCTGGAATGTTCACTGGCGGTCAAGTGAAGTGGCCACAGTGTATTATATACACCTGCATATGGATGTGTGCTTCGATTGGAGGATGAATGTTTCACTTTTCGTACAATCGAACCCGGCATGTTTCACAGCGAATGAACGGTGTAGTGATAGCAAGTAAAAGAATGCACGACACGATTTCGTAGTTGAAGCCGTGGCCAGTGGAACGTTTTGTGGTGTTTGGACCGCATGATGAACAATGCGACCCAAATGGGGGATGTTAAAACCCTCTAGGCCCCGTGCCGAAATTGGGTAGCTGTTCTGAGGTCCTTGTTGGTGTTGCTTCCCAAGTTCCATTGATCGCCATTTGGCTCAAGACACAATTGAGGTTCAAGATCTGATGTGTGACTGCAGACCTACGTGATCGGCATTAAGAGCAAAACAACTGCTTGCGCCGCTTTGTCAGGACCACTGGTGTAATTATCATTCCTTCTTCCTTACAACGTTTACACGGGTTCGGCTATAACGGCATCGTCCGTATACACCTTTCTACGTGGTTGGTATTAAAGCTTGAGGGTTCGGTGCACAGCGTCCCACGGGACGTCACCTTGCCGTCTCTTGACATCTACATATACCAAAAGGCGCAGTTGCGCTGAAGGAAAGTAGTAACATGACTTGAGCGAATCAAACTCAACCCCTCCCATGGCCCGTAGTACGGCAGCAGCGTGCCGAAGCCAGTGGGCCGAGCTTTCCGGATGCCCATAGAGGGACTTTACCAATTGAGCACACACACAAGGCTTCTTGAGATGTCTGTATCTTGCCGCGACAAGTTCCGGGGGTAAGAGCACCCATACGTCAGTGGAGATTGCTTTCGATATACGCTTTATAGCGTTGGCTGTGCTACACTTGTGGGGCAGCAACTGACCGTAGCCGATCACGAAATTGAGCCCGGCGATTGAGGCTGGCACTAAACCAGCCAGGTCCTGAAAGACGGCGCTCAACCCGTTGTGATCTCCCCGCGGAACATTATCCGGGCCTTTAGCTTCCATTTGGGTGGGTCCCGCTCGAAGCCTTTCACCGGTACTATCATCATGAAATTGCTTTGGCTAGCCAGGTTATGCCGACCAGACATTCAAGTCGCGGTTAATGCCTTGGGTTCGCATGTAATATGTTGGGCAAGAGCTGATGACCGGCGATTGGCTAGATTCATCGGATACATTTCCGTGACAACCAACTACGCCATTCTGTCCTTCATGCATAATCAGGCATTGGAATTAAGACTATCCTGCTGTGCTGATGCAAGCGATTGCAATGAACCAGCCAAGAGCTGCTCAGGCTTCTTCATAGCCCTTGAGGCTGATCAGTCTTTCCTGCCGTTGGTTTGGGTTAGCAAGAAGCAAAGCGTTGCGAGCAAGTCTACCACGGAATCAGAAGCGGTTGCCCTTGCAACTTCTCTGAATGCATCCCTCTTCAGTCAGCATGGGAAACTGTTCTAGGGCGACCTTTAACGGTTACATGTTATGAGGACAACCAGGCTGTCTTGGCAATCATCAAAAAGGGGTATTCCAGTAAGCTCCGGCACTTGCCAAAGACACAAGATCAACGTTGCATCCGTGAGTGAATTGTTTCGTGACTCTCAGTTTCAGATTGAGTACATTGCCACTGATCACCAGAAGGGTGATATCCTGACGAAAGACCTCGGTCCGCAGAAATGGGGACCAGCCTTGGAGATCCACGTGCGTCGTCTTTGAGCTTGTGCTCGAATCCATCACTTGCTTTGTCTAGACTTCTGCCCATTTGCTTGTGTGGGTTTTAGCTGCTTCGGCGCTGCCCCGTACTTCTCATGTGCATTTGCATCTTAGGGTATATAGGAGTGATGCGCAGGTAGTCATTGCTGTTGAGCGAGTTCTAGTCGCGTCAGCGCTGCCTCGTCTCTCTTCGAACTTTGGCTCATAATTGATATGTGTGTTTTGCAACAACTGTGAAGCATAGGAACAAACGTGTCCTAACGCAAACTTTGGCTGCTTCTGCGCCTGTTCCTTGCATGCCTGTCTTGCCTTTCGCTTCGGCAGAGGTATGGATAATAAGTGATAGTATCTTGGGTTGATAGCTTCAGCTCCTCAAGGTGCGACCCTTGGACTTCATGACTTCAATGTTTTCGAGGCTTTCCACTTGGAAGGATTGTTGTCCAAGCCGTGTGGAGCAGCAGTGGTAGAATCACTGATGCACCTCATCATGAATTCATCATCTCATTAATTCGCATTAGGTAGTCATTGTCAGAAGGGGGTTTGCGCCACAGCCCTTCATGTAACTAATGCGGTTTCATAAATTCGTTGTTGAACAAGCCTGTCAAGGGACACGTCCCCACCAAACACTTTTGGGGACGTATCGTTTTGGCTTACGTTTTGGCTCGGACGTACAAGAATGCACCAAGAATAAACATGCTTGCGCATCTTGCAAGCCCAGACTACCGATCATCTGAGGGTTGCCCTCTGACACCGGAAAAGAACTTACTTGTATCTCTCTCTTTCTCTCTTTCTCTCTCTCTCTCTCTCTTTCTCTCTCTCTTCTTGACAAAGTCCATACTTACTCAGGTGACCTAGCGCCACTGGGTGCTTTGATGTATGATTGTCTCAACTCCGAATCCAACCTTGAAACCTTTTCGGAAGGCAAGGGACATGTTCTTTGCGCCAAAGCGCCGGGTGCAGGTTTCTGGTTCCTCCGGAGAACGGGGACCATCCGGAGTGGAGCTCTCACACTGCGTCTTTGGCAGCTCGGGCTGACGGCAAGGGTTGCGGTTGGGCAAACATGGCCGAATCTCGCTTAATTTGGGTACCCCTTATGGGGAACCGAGCGGAGGTTGAACAAAAGCAGCTTCAGTATGTTTGAACAACATGAAATCTGAGAGAGGGCAGGATGGTATGTTTGGCTTCGAGTGGCAAACACCTGCAGAGGTGACTTGTGCATTCAGCTTTGAGGTCCCAGGTGATGTACGCAACTGTATTTTGTTGGTGGCCCATTCCAGTACATGGCTGTTCTCTTGCAGATATGGCGATGTGTGACCTGTTGGAAGCTCATGCGCACCATGTTGGAATGTGGGCGGGGACAGTACTTGCCACAACGCCTCCCCTTGAAGCAGTCACAGTTTGACCCCTTCCTGCGAAACACAAAGAAAGTCAGCTTGAGGAGGTGGCAGGCAGACCTTTCGATGTTGGGGGTGGAGTGGTAATACAATTAAAAAAGCCGGCTGTAGGAGGTTTCGGGTTTAGGTACGCCTACCGCCAAACTACCCGATTCCACCTGTGTGGGCCTGTTTGCAGCCTCCATTTGGCTTCCCTCGCAGACCGTTAAAGATACATGACAAAATTCAAGATCTTTCCATTTTGACGCGTTCGTTCTTGGGCACAGTTGGTCCCTTTTGGCGCCTTTTGCTCAGATCTCCAACACTTTGAGCTTGCTGTACTTCACCTGCACCGCGGTATGGCTGCTCCTTACGGTGGTCATCAAGTTCCCCATCGCGCTGCACGAGGCGGAGGCGCGAGCCGCGAGGTGCTGTGCTGGGCGCTTGGGAGGTCAAAGCAGGAAGTCCTTCAGCAAATCTCCCGTTTGCAACATGTGGAAGTGGAAGAGGCTGAGTCCGATCTGGATATTGGCCACTCGACCTATGAGGATGTTGGCCGGGAGGCCGCGCCCCACACAGTCCACTCATTGATCAGGGCGTCGTTTTGGGCCAATGGTGCAGGTGTACCAAGCGGCGGTTGCAAGTAGACTGAGAAGGCAAGATTGGCTTCTTCCATGGGTCAGGTGCTTGGATTGGTAGGCACTTGCCACACCAAGTTAGATGCCAACTATTAGGTTGAAGCCCAAACTGTTGGCTTGCGCGCTCGTTGCATCATGCTCTTCTCGTGGGTGTCAAGTTGTAAGTTGGTGGCATTTAGTGCCTTTTGCGTTGAGGAGCAAGCTGATGCAGTGCTTGCCTCCCAACCAGCATCACATGCCTCGCATGCCTGGCCAGCATTGGCCGACTAGAAAAGCGGGCCCATTTGGCAAACTTGGCCACCTGATTTGCCAGCTTCAGGAGATGCGGAGCAAACCCCCACGGAACGCCTTGGCGAACTTGTTGATGAACGCCTACGCCTTGTCCAGGCCGCCTTGGCCCGATTTTTGGGCCGCGGGTCCCTGCGGATCCCCGTCAAAGGGAGCTGTGGAGAATGCAGGTTGCCTTTTGGGCTCTCGTTTGCTGGCAGAAAGTCTTTCTCGAAAGACTGACACCCGACTGTCCTGTGATGCAGTGAATCTGGAATATTTGCAACTGCCAAGATCACTCAATCTCGATGCCTATAGATATGGACATGTCTATAGCTCCCTGTACATATATGTATATATGTGAGTGTGTGTGTGTACGTAATGTAATGTAATGTAAAGTAATGTAAAGTAATGCAATGCAATGCAATGCAATGCAATGCAATGTAATATATATATATATGTGTCTGTATGCACGTGTATGGAGTGTGTGTGTGGGTGTGGGTGTGGGTGTGCGTGTGCGTGTGCGGTGCGTGCGTGCGCGCGCGCGCGTGCGCGTGCAAGCACGTGCGTGTGCGTGTGCGCGTGCGGGGGTAAGTGCGTCGCTCCTGAACGCTGGCAAAACCATCGCTTCAGAACGCTGAAACAAAATCGCTTCGGAACGCCGGAAAACGTACTAATCGCTTCGGAACGCTGGAAGTGCAGCCACGTGCCACGCGCAGCACCGAGACACCGGCGAGTGCTTCGCTCTTGAACGCTGGGACAAGAATCGGCACCCATGCGTCCACGCGCCCACCTGCCCACAGGCCCACGCACTGCTAGCTGACGGATTTTTCTGATAGCCTCGAAAAACCCAAAGACCTAAACCCTTTATTAACGTACTATAATATTAGCAGCACCTGCCACCGGAGTCTGGATCAAGTGATTTGGGTTTCGGTTGTAGCGCCCCACTTTTTCGTGAAGTTGTTTCAGGTTCATTTGATTACAGAGCTTCAGCGGGTGTGCTTATCATGCCCCCCCCCCCCACACCACCCCCCACCCCCAGAACCAGATGAATTTGCACATCTGGTTACAGAGCAGGCTGGGCTGGTTCACTTCAGCGGGTGTGCTTATCACCCCCCCCCCCAGAACAAATTGATTGGATTTTGCACACCCTTGCTGGTGAAGCAGTTCAGCGGGTGTGCTTATCATGCCCCCACCCCCCACCCCCAGAACCAGATGAATTTGCACATTTGGTTACAGAGCAGGCTGGGCTGGTTCACTTCAGCGGGTGTGCTTATCATCCCCACCCACCCACCCACCCAGAACAAATTGATTGGATTTTGCACACCCTTGCTGGTGAAGCAGTTCAGCGGGTGTGCTTATCATGCCCCCCCCCCCACCCCACCCCCCACCCCCAGAACCAGATGAATTTGCACGTTTGGGTATAGAGCTTCAGCGGGTGTGCTTATCACCCCCCCCCCCCCACCCCCCCAGAACCACTAGATTTTGCACACCTGGGCTGGGACGCCTGCCTGCGTACGGAAGTGATCCTGGGCTGGGACGCCTGCGTTCGGAAGTGATCTTTTTGACTGACCGGGTTTTGCAACCCTTTCGGCGTTCCGGGTGCTCAGTGTTTTGAAGTGATTTTTTTTAGTGTTCAGAAGTGATCGAAAGTGGCAGCGTTCACAAGTGATTTTTTTTAGCGTTCTGAAGTGATTGTCTACCCGTGCGGGTATGCGTGCGTGCATGCGCGCGTGTGCGCGTGGACGCGCGCGCGTACGCGCGTGCGCGCGTGCGCGCGCGCGTCACTGTGTGTGTGTGTGTGTGCGCGTGTGTGTGCGTGTGTGTATGCATGTGTGTGAGTGTTGAGCGAGTGAGCAAGTGAGTGCGTGCGTGCGTGCGTGTGTGTGTGTGTGTGGGTGCGTGCGTGCGTGCGTGCGTGCGTGCGTGCGTGCGTGCGTGCGTGCGTGCGTGCGTGCGTGCGTGCGTGCGTGCGTGCGTGCGTGCGTGGCGTGCGTGCGTGCGTGCGTGCGTGCGTGCGTGCGTGCGTGCGTGCGTGTGCGTGTGTGTGTGTGTGTGTGTGTGTGTGTGTGTGTGTGTGTGTGTGTGTGTGTGTGTGTGTGTGTGTGTGTGTGGGTGTGCGTGCGCGTGCGCGTGCGCGTGCGCGTGCGCGCGCGTGTGCGTGTGCGTGTGCGTGTGCGTGTGCGTGTGCGTGTGCGTGTGCGTGTGCGTGTGCGTGTGCGTGTGCGTGTGCGTGTGCGTGTGCGTGTGCGTGTGCGTGTGCGTGTGCGTGTGCGTGTGCGTGTGCGTGTGCGTGTGCGTGTGCGTGTGCGTGTGCGTGAGCGTGTGCGTGTGCGTGTGCGTGTGCGTGTGCGTGTGCGTGTGCGTGTGCGTGCGGGGGTGCGGGGGTGCGGGGGTGCGTGCGGGGGTGCGGGTGCAGGTGTGCGTGTGCGTGTGCGTGCGTGCGCGTGTGTGTGTGCGCGTGTTCCCAGGTGTGTGTGTGTGTGCGCGCGTGTGTGTATATACGTAAGGAGTTATAATGAGGCAGAAACTTCTAAAACGGTATCGCCGCCGCTTGAATTCCGTGCCTGCTTTGCTCGCTAGACTCACGCCCCTTCGCAGGTCAAGTCGGCGTTTGACTTCATGTGCAAATTGACAGTCGCGGGTCTCTATGACTCTAAAGATGGGGGTCACTAGCCTTATTTAGGGAAATGCCCTCAGTATTCAAAGGTCATGGAGACCCCAGGATTACGTCCAAAATAAGTGCACCGCAGGCATCAAGTCGCATTCCCGCGAAATTCGTGCTGAGGCTGATGCGGGATGGCCAGGTGGCCTGGCGCGCGCTACTGCTGACCTGCTGCTTTTGCGCCTTTGTCTTCGGGCGCCTTGGCAAGCGACGCAGCAATAAGATTGGGGGGGCTGGCTTGGTTTCAAAGGGAAACCAGCAGGACCCATTGATACACAAATGTGCGCTGGAGCTTTCGTGGCAAATAAGTGCGCCAGCACTGGCAAATACAAACACATGCAAACACACGGATTGCGGGGAAGAGCTTTGGCTTTGCACACTTTTTGGACATGCGCCCGAGTTGCGAAAAATCGCGCCCGAGTTGCGAAAAATCGCGCCCGAGTTGCGAAAAATCGCGCCCGAGTAGCGGGAAATTGCGCTCGAGTTGCGGGCTCGTTTTCTCTCGAGCACTTGACCAAAGCAGCTAGGCAACCTCAAAACATGCTTGGATTGGATTGGGGTATGACATTGAGGATGCCACTGGAAAATTGACCCGGGAGCTTGGCGGATCAAAAGCTGCATTATTCTCATCCACAAGGAAGCGGAGGCACCTCGCATTCCTTTCAGTCAACTCCAGCTTGCTTTTTGCCAGGATGGTTCCCTTTCTCCCTGTCCTTCTCCATCCTTCCCTTGCCCCCTTTTTTTTTTAGAATCCCAGGGAGGTTTTTCATGGGAGTCAGGCACTACTGGCTGAACAGCTTCATCCTGATGGACTTCTGGTGCCAGTCCCCGGTCCTGGCCACGGTCTTCCGCGCCATCTGCTCCCCGCTGAAGTCGCTGGCCATGACCTTCCTGGGGCCCCTCGGCTCGGAGGGACGGGTTTGTTTTTGACGCGGGCCGGGCCGCTTTTGTATTTTTCCGGGTGGCCGGTGCTTTGTGGTTCTTTCTTGTGGTTGTTTTTTTTTTTTGTGTTTGGGGGGGGGGTGTTGTGCAGGTGGCTTTCTGTTGTTTTTGTTGGGTGGTCCCCTACCAACCAGGCAACCATTCAAAGGGCAGTTGTTTGAAAGTTGGCCTGTCCTGGAAGCAGTGCCAAGTCAGCCGGAAAGCACCCCGGGCGTTCCTTTGGTTCGAATGGGAGGCCTCTTGGGCTGCAGGTTCGGTTCAACCACTGCATCCCTTGAGACGTGGAAAAGCGTCCTTCAACAAACCCAAGAAATGGATTAGGGTCATGGCACATGTTCCCATGCAAGCAGCATGCGCCAGGTTGCTGATCATCACCTTTGTGTATGCCGCCATTGGTTTCCGCAGCCCGGCCGCAGCGCTATAGCGCTCAGGTTGGGAGATGCAGAGTTACCGCATGTTCTAAGTCGAGCTCACTGGGGGTAACCTGAGCTCATCGGTCCTTCGCCTGAGGATCCCTTGCTGCAGGTTTCGGAAAAATTCCGGCAGAATTTGCAGAAATTTCGGCAGGCTTGTCCTAGTTGGTTTGTGGGCCCGTACTTCTTCAGGCTGCTTTGAGCAGATGTACTCTGCTTGGAGATGGGGTCTCCGCTTCAGTGATTTTGTGGGACATCTGAAAAGATAACCTTAGGCAGAAGGCAAAGGCCCATTCAGTTTTGTTTTTCATTTTCCAAGTTTCAAGGTTCCAATAGTTGACCTTTTGTGCCAATTCTGTCAGTTCCAGCACAAATTGACCAACTGGGCCTTATTTGGGCAACCATTTGGTTTGCCACATGCGATTGGCTGTTGGCTGGTCTTGGCACATAATTTTTTCGAAGGTGAACCCTGGCCAGCAACAAATCCAACTGAGAACGGCGAAGCCGTAGCTCAGGCTACTTCCGGGAGGACTTCCACCACTTCTGCAACGAAAATATCCTGACTTGTACTGAGCTACTCGGTTTTGCAAGCATCCGGCGACTCCCAGGCCAACCTTGAACTTAACAGACCATGGGAAGGCTGTAGTTACTCCATGGCTTTTTTTGCGTCGCGCAGGATTGGGCCCACAAGGAAATTGCTCCATGCTGGATTGTACACATGTTGTATGTCATGTTTGTACTTCGGACAAGTTTTTGCACTTTGAGAACTTGAAAGCAATTAGACATTTCAGAACATTTGCGTGTGCATACGCAATAATGTAAGGCCTTCTAATATATCCTTTCGGACACACTTTCCTTCAGCGCTGTGACAGGCTGGCAGCTTCGTGGCAAGGATTCAAAAGGGGGTGGTCAATGATTGGATGAGTGGCCTGTTGCAGCGGCCGCTGTAGTACTGACAGGCGCAACTTTTTTCAGGCTGTGTGTGACAAATTTGTGTGACCTAGTAGCGAAGGCGCATGCTTGGACCTCCAGCGGTTAGAAGTCACAAGCATCCAGAGCTGGAGCGCGCAATTGCATCGGGAGTTTCATGAGAGACTTGGCTGGGCCATTTCCACGGAGAAACGACTGAAATGCTCTCTCGCCCTGCTCAGGTCTTTGTTTTGAGACATGCCCCACGTGTGGTGCGTCCTTGTTCAGCGGACCCTACCCCCCCAAAATGGTGGTCTTCCTGTTGATTTCCCTTTGACATTATCCAAAGTTGTGGTTTCCCTTTAAAACCCAGGGTTATTACATCCCAAAGAGGCTGAGCCGATTTCCCAGGAACATCCTCTACCAGGGAACTCGGGGCGGCATTGTGGGTCTAAGCCTCATGATGAGCAGCACGCATCCTGGCCGGCCCGACTGGACGGAGCGCATGCTCTATGCCAGGGCCTCAGAGGGCCTTTCTTTTCCCATTGGGAATGCGGCCCTTACTGCACGGTAGACGCGGTTGGGCACTGGGATCAAGTACGTGATACCTGCAAATGTTGCTTTCATTCACCAATTCATCAACTCATCATAGGTGGCTGGGCAGATACTGTATAGATGTGAATCTGAAAATTGACTGATTACCAGTCACCCGTAACCGACATCCCCGTGGATCCCAGCCTAAAAATCCAATGTTTGTTTGGCGCAACCTGAAAAAGTTCTCTTTACCAAGGTCACTGGCCAACTGGGCAACAGTAATTAGAGCCCCGGCGGGTTCTGTGGCTGTCGGGCCCTCCATGGGCTTTTTGCTGCTTTGAGAGTGCCCACTTCCATTCCGCTTGCCAGACGCTTAGCCCTTTTGAAGAATTGGAACAGGTCTTCGTTTTGATGATGGGGCATTTCAGCGTGTGAAGCATTTGTCAAGCTTGGTGGGAACCAATGTGAGTAGTACAAGTTAGTGTTGTGGCTGAAGACATGTCTCACGCTATTTGTGGCGGGTATCCGTTGCAATTTGGCGCATAATTATACGCTGTTGCTTAGCAAGGCGCAATGCCAGTCTCTTGCCATGCAGGCAAACAAAAGCACAAAACAAAAACAGCCATGAGGTGACTCGCATGCACATGCGCAAGTGCGTGACACACGGCAAGATGCCATGTTTGTTTGTTTGTTAAATGTATTTTGGGTTTGGGAGGCGTGAATCAGAAACATATGTTGCGTCCACCTCTCCCCCAACTCGCGGCAACGGTCGCAATGGTCGCAGGACATGAGTTACTTCATCATATTCGGTGTCATCGTGCTCAACACGATCGTGCCTTGCAGAAATCAGGCTCTTGTATGACTTGCATGTATCCCGCGATGAATGTGAATTCAGTTGTCCCTATTTCTCATACTTCCTTCAGCCTTGGTTGGCACACTATGCTTGTAGCAAGTCCGCAATTTGCTTCGTCTGCATGCGGGGATTGTGGACAGGCACGCAGCGGGTTTTTTGTCGTGCAAGCAAAATCAGTCAGAAAGCCAGTTGCAGTCCCTCACATATATTAAATAGTATATGTATATATATACACCTACAGATGTTCGGTTGCATTGGACGTCTAGCATTGAATTGAGCTGAGAGACCATCCTATGCTGGTAGACCACCATTCCAAGGAAAGCATCACGTCAACCAGCATAGGGGCCTGGGTCGAAATCAACGCCTCAGCTCCTAGCAACAAACTTATGTCGAAACGCCGGCCTCACCACCAACACAGTCTTTTGCGCAGGACCTTTGATTGAAAATAACGTCCTGACCGAGATCTGCTTTGTTGGAGGTGATGTTGTTTGACTTGGAATGCGTGCTTGGCGGAGGATGTTATTAGCGTTCTTTGGTTGGATGACTTTAGTCCGGGCTTTCCTAAGATCAACCGATTCAGCGTGCAAGGGTTTGGCACCCTCTGCGCAGCCAACTGAGAGGGCTCCAGAGAGGATGGCAGAGGTGGGTCTCATCGTCGACTCCTTCGGCGCGCTTCGGCTGGACATGGAAGCCCGGGAAAACGATCAGCAGACGCAGACCTTCGTGTCCTGCAGCTTGGATGAAATCGGGGAGCGGTGTTTGGACACGCCATCCGGTCTGTATGGATCCCAGAGGGCCCACTTGAAGAGAGAAGTTCTCAGGATCCCAAGACGCCCAGTCACTTTTTTGTTAGAACAAACCCTGTGGGAGAGGGAATCCCGTTGATTCCTGCAGAGAAGGAACTATCAATCTGATTACTGAGGTTAGCTCGTGGCAGGGTTTACACACCAACTATGTGTCACCCCCGGACTTGTGATATCATATTTTCATCCATGGCTCGGGTAAATCAACCAGGGTTGTGGCCTTAACACCCTCCATGCAGCCTTCCCCCAAAACGAAGCCCCAGCACCGAGCCTGCCACTCCTTAAACCTTCGATGAAACTGTAAACCCAGCCTCAACCAGTTTCAAGCTTGGCACAGAGCTCAACCGGCTTCAAACAAACCCCAAAAATCGGGCAACAACGGTCTTGCCCGCCTTGAGCCAGCCTGAGCCAATTACATTGAACAAGTTTCATGCCGTTCCGAAAACGGAAGCCTACCCGACATCAACCCTTATTGGTTTCTAAACCTCAAGTAGGCCCTTGAAGCGACCCCAAAGAGAGGCTCATAAATTAGAGAGAGGGCATTTCCGGCAGCAAGTCCAACAACCGCCCTGCAGTTTTTATCCATCCCCACTGGTGCAGGATGGTCTCCATCTACACGCAGAAAAATATTAGTTTGGTAGATCAATTCCTGCAGAATGGCGTAGTTCACCGGCGACAGAGGCTTTCAGACTTGCCATGGGGTCATACATGCAGCCTTGTTGAATGAGTGTTGTCGGTTTTCATTGTGGGAGCATTCTGTATTAGCATCAGGTCAGCTTTTACCAAATCGACCCCGAAAACAAGCACCCGACCAAGCTGCCAAATCACAAAACGACAAGCTGACGTGGCATTGCTCAGCCCACGTAGACCCCGCCCATTGCATGCTTGCTCCAAGTTTGATATGTCGATTCTCCCTTGGGATGGGGGATTTGTGGCTCTTCCGGGGTCCAGTTCGCTGGTGGCTTCCTGTGGCGGGGTTTCAAAAATTTCTCTACCAAGAATCTATGGGCAGCTGGGTGCGAGCACTTTTGCTCCAATCACGGCGCCGTGGCCCGCGCCCAACTTGCCCCCCCGAAACCGCAGGCATTGACCGAAGGAGCGTGGAGCAGGTCGCGCAGTCCGCGGGGATTTCAGACGGCTTCGAGTATCACGAGACATACCGGCAGAACAAGTGGGCGCTTTCGGCGGCACATGGAGTGCGGTAAGGGCACCCAAAAAACATCCAGCTTGGAATTCTCTTTAGGGTGCGTTGGTGAGCCGTTTCACGGCCTCCCAAATGTTTCGTTCTGTCACAGGAAGGTCTACTACGAATGGGTGAGCAGGGGGGGTTCTATCTCCAGCACGCCTTTTACGCGCTTTGCTCCCCAAGGACTACATGGCATTCCTTTTCCATTTGTGTGAGACGGACTTGGAGGAGCGGACAGCACGGGGGGCACTCTGGGATGGAAACCAGACACGTCGGACATGACCATTCCAAGCTGTTTTTGACATGTTACGGCTGATCGAAGATCAGCTGGATTTCAAGGACATGATTTGGGTACCGCTTTCTGTGCACTGTGCACAGAACGTTCTCAAGTGTGTTGAGCGTTCTCTTGCAGCAGCGGGACACAGGCAAGAGTTCGCTTCGAAGCAAAGGCCGTGGAAGAATTGTTTTATCATTGCGTTCTTGGTAGGCATGCGCGACGTTTCGTTTGCCTCCTCATGAGCTCAGATGATCAGCTGGAAAGGACTTAAGCACAAGGAATTGCAATCAGAAATATGGCCTTAGCAGCTTGTCACCATCAGCACCACCAGCACCAGCACCAGCACCCCACCGTCATCATCATGATCATCGTCGTTGCAATCATCCATGCTCCATCCTCCATCCTCCATTCTGATCCTTATCCTTATCCTCCTCATCCTTCCCCTCATCATCACCATCATCACCATCATCATAAGCAGCAACATTAGCAGCATCAGGATTCGAATGATTAGCAGCATCATGATCATTGTCATCATCGTCGCCGTCGTCCGCAGCCAGTGGTCATGATCAAGCTTCAGGATTCTGGACTGACGCTCATCAGAATCGCTATGGTCATCAGTACCACTGTCATCACAGCAGTCATCATCGGCACATCAGCAGCAACAACCATGAACCTCATCATGATCATGTAGCCGATCGTTCATGACTCAGAACCACGACCACCACCACCACCACAACCACCACCACCACCACCACCACCACCACCACCAAAACCACCACCACCACCACCACCACCACCACCACCACCACCACCACCACCACCACCACCACCACCACCACCACCACCACCACCACCGTGTCATCGCCATCGCCATTGCCATTGCCATCCTCCTCTTCTTCTTCATCATCGTCATCATCATCATCATGATCAACGTCACGGCGTCATGTTTGTTCTCATCGTCACATCGTCGGCATCGGGGCATCTTCGTCATTGTCATCATCGTCATCCCGTTGTGGCAGCAGCAACGCTAGCAATTTCAACACGAAGGTGAGTCACGGTGACCACGTCCATCATGCTCGTCATCGTGAGCATACAAGGCATGTTCTAAGAAAGGTCATCATGTCCTCCCCGCCGCCATCCTGAACAGGAGCTCACCGGCCCAGAGCATCACATTCGGGCCCTGATGGACAGGGGAGATGCACCCTGGCATCCGGGCGGCGTGGAGGGCAGGTTTCCCGCGAAGCGCGTGACTAGCACATACAAGCACTCTCAGCTGCTTCTTGTTTGTGGGGCCGCTCTTGCGCCTGCAAATCGAGCATGTCAGCCATAAACAAATCGCAAACTTGCGGGCGGATTTAAGGATGCGACCCCCTGATCATGTACGGTGTTCAACAGATGTTTGCCTTGGAGGAACCCACAATTCAGCAGCCGCAGGGGCGGGGAAACGGCGCTTTGCCGGGTTTGCACTTCGGGCTTGCCGTAAGGCGTTCATTCCCAGAGAGGGCGGTTTTCGCGCGCATGTGTGTGTGTGTGGGCATGCATTTTATCAGGAAATTCCTTATGAAGCCTAAATGTGCCCCCTACTCCAAATACCCACTTTTTCTAGGGTATTTTTTGGAAACCCTGGTTTTCCATGGTAAATACCTCCTTTTTTAGTAGAGGGTCGACATGATACCCTAAAAAAAGTGGGTATTTGGAGTAGGGGGTGTTTCTTGTGAGAATTGACTATATATACAATCTGCTCAGTGTCAGGCTTGGAGCATTTTCTTGGGCATCATGTGTGCGCAGATGTTCCAAGGGGAACCCTGCAATCCTTCGCTTCCTCAAGGGAAAATCACCATTTATCCAAATTGACTGGCGCGGCAACACCCCCGGCGGGATTTGCATGGGGGAACGGGCGAGCCTCCAGCGGTTGCCAGTCAAGTCTTTCATTGAAGGATCGTTTCTATTTGATGAGCCGGGACGCGTTTTTGTTCTGTTTCCCCTCTGGGAAGACATACTCTTGGGATGGGCTGAGGCGAAGTGGTTGCCCATTGGCCGTTCCAAGTTCCTGGAGGGCGCCGGCATGGGCATGAACCCGCTGGAGCGGGGTTTTCCAACTCGGCTGAGAAGTTGAGAAGTTGAGATGTTGTACGGTCAAGTTGATGGGCGAAAAGGCGGCAACAAAACCACCGCAAGATGGTACACAGCAGGAGGCCCTTCGAACGGCCCAGTTCAACCAGGCGTTTGGACGGGAAGGTGTGCGTGCTTGCGTCCAGGACAGGTTCATGCGGATCCAAGAGCAGACCAAGTACCTGGGAAGTTTCGCATTTCGGCTCGAAGGGCGTGAGGGGGAGGGAAGTGGGTTTAGTCCACCAGAACCAGGCACACACTCGGCTCTACAATCAAGGTGGAGCATGAATCAGCTGTAAACGAACCGAACAGGAGCATGTTCAAGGCGCGCGTGAGGCTCTCGTTGTTTTGAGGCTGGCTCTCCAAAACCTATGATTTGAATGCCAAGTTTGGGTTTTTTGACAGAGAAGGTCCTGCGACCACCCTTCTGTGACGCAGAGTGCAATGTCATGGATTGGGTTCGCTTAATTTCCTTTGGCTGGAGGAATCTCGGCAGATTCGGGCCTCGCTGGGAACGGCCGCACCCAAGGATTGCGCCAAACCGAACAAACAAAAGCACACTGGTGCCTTGGACATGTCTCGTGGCCGGTGTGCAGCACAGCACCAAACCGCGAAGGAACAGTTTTGGCTGGCCTATGCATGCCTTTGCATGCCTTTGGTCTTGCTTGGGGTTATCTTTAGGATGTGGTCCTCTACCTTGGGAGTGTGGAACATCAGGTTGATCGACTTAGACCAACGCCCCGAGCTGGCACAAGCCTAGCTGAGTCCGAGCAGAAGCCATCTACCACGTTTGGGCATAAGGGTCTCCTTGAAATGGGTCCCCAGCTGACGCGGAAGCTTCCCACTTTTTGTTTTTCGGGGGGGGTATCGACCACGAAGAAAGGAGCGCCCCTTCTTCCCATGGCCACTGGGGGTCTGGGCCTTTGAGGATGCGGCTGGAAGATGTTGTCATGCTATTCAGCTTTGAGTCTATTCCAGTTCTGCTACCTCGTTGCCGAAAACAACCCGGAGATGATTGAAGCGATTGTTTACCCGCAGTGTTGAAGCTTAATGCCGTTCCTTTCAATTAGGCCAAGGGAGCCACGGGTGGTTGGCTGTCGCGCAGAGGTGGAGTCGAACCAAGACAGCTGGAAGAGCATTTCGCGATCTATGTCTCAGTTGGACTCGGCCATCCGGGACTGGCACGTCTTTTTGCTGCCTTCGGGAGACATTGGTCCGAACTTGGGCAAATCGATTCGTGGAGTGATATTTGGGTCACGGGTGGTTGACAAGTGGCTGCAAATGGCTGGTATTTGATCCTCATATTCCTCCTCAAAGGGGATTCCTCGTCCTTCTCAACATACGTAGTCAGAATCCCGTTCAAGCTGCATGGTACCATCGCGCTCTGCACTTCACCAATATTGCACTGTAGATTACCGCCCGTGCACCTTCCCATATCGACCCTTCAAACATCCCAGGCAACTTGAAGTAGGTTCCCTAAAAAGAAGACCGTAGCCATGAAAACTTGCGTTTTGGGTCACTTGTGACAAGGACATCGCCCTGCAAAATCCACCAGGGAGAAATCCCCCAAAGTCCTAAGTTAGTGGGGATGGGAACTTCTAGCTCTTCGGTGGATTGGGCTCCCCTTTGCCCTTCGCAGTTGGGATAGCTGAGATGGTCACGATGGACGAAACCCTACTGAGAACCGACCAGCCGGAGTTTGGATTCTGCACGTTCACGGTACTCGGAGGGTCCAACTACCGACCCTTTGGGGTAATTATGAATCAGCTGGATTTCGGATAGTACCTTTATGAGGTCTGAGCCATTTTGCCTAAGACCCTCTGGGGTAATCCGCATTTCGGATGTCAGTGGAAGCGGAGTTCGCCAGGACAAGCTGGACGGCATGCTCACAGAGCTGAGGGACTTGCAGCTGGAGCTCAAGCAGCAGCGCATGCTCAAGGATTGAAACGGGTCGACCTGAAGATTGGTTTGTGTCTGGGGTCTTCCCCAAAGCTATTTTCTGATTTAGGGCGGACGAAAAAATGCGGCTTTTGCGGCTTTGGCTTTCGCATCCGCTGCATTTTCCTCTCCGGCAGGTGGCTTTTTGGCTTTATCGCTTTTGGTGGCTTTCTGGCTTTGGCTTCTCGCATCCTCTGCTTTCCCAGTTGGTTTTTGGCCTTTTCGATCATCATGGGGCTGCCGCCCCCCCCCCCTCCCCCCCCGCTACTTTTTAGATTTGTTGCCCCTAAAATTGAATCATCACTTTTTCGATCATCTATGTATGTCTGTATGTATGCACTTAATCGATTATGATAGGGGAAGCCACCCCAGCCAACGCTCCCGCCACTTTTTGTATTCTATCGCACCCTTTCTTCAATCATTGCACCCCTATTTGAATCATCACTTCTTCGAACATCATGGGGGGGCTGCCGCCCCCCCCAACCCCCCCGCTATTGAATCATAATTTTTCGATCATCATGGCTGCTGCCCCCGCTACGTTTTAGATTTGTTGCCCCTAATTGAATCATCACTTGTTCGATCATCATGGGGGCGGCTGCCGCTACTTTTTAGATTTGTTGCCCCTAATTGAATCATCACTTGTTCGATCATCATGGGGCTGCCGCCCCCCCCCCCCTCCCCAGCATCTTACCAGCCAAGACGGAAAACAAAAAAAAACAATGCAAACAAAATCTCAACCCAGTAATTAATTCTCAAAATAGGGGAACCACCAAAATGGTTGGTTTCCTTTTGGCTTCCCTTCCGAAAGGAACCAACAGGGGGAACCCTGAACCCTCAGAAAAATAAGGCAATTGGCGCACGAACTATTCGTCCTGGCGCACTCGAGAGCCAACTCTCCAGGAGCTACATGCAGAGCAAGGCAACTCCCTTTGAGGCGCGCCGGAGGGGGCCAAGTCTTCGCGGAAACAAGCCAACACGATTTGCATTGTGATCTGAGAAGGTTGTTGGGACCTAAACACCTACATTTCCAAAGAGACCCCCAAGCCATCCAAAGCCTTAATGAAGTGATATGAAGTGATACTGTCCGCCAGCCAACTTCCAAGGGGTCGCCATCTATTTCTTCCAGTGCCCACAGATACAAGATCTTGACATTGCCGCCCGGCAACACAAAGAAAAGACATGCAACGAACACAGAGAACTGTGAAGAGTTCTGGTCCAGTTTTGCGGCGCGTATTCATTTGCAAACTCCTTGCGTGCAGCAGGCCTGTGCCTAGAAAGTGTTCAAGAACTGCTTGCCGCCAAAGTTAGGAACAAGCATCCGCACTCGCGCACGCAACGCCCTTATCATTTGACGCTTCAACTTATGTATAGCCTTTGACCAACTCAGGATTCAGGGCATTCCTGGATGCTCCCCAGCCTGCCAAGCCTGCGCCCAAAGACTCTCATGTTGTTTGAGGCCACAGCATATGCGTTTTGGAAGTTGCGCGAACTTTCTTTTGATTCCACGGGGCGCGAAAAACATGCAATATTTCTTTGGGGTTGGCCACCCAGGCTAGGGAGCAAATTTGAGCCGGCATTGCTTGCATTTAGATTTTACACGCCTGTGCCTTAGAAAGCATTTTTTTGTTTTAATTGAGACGGCAGCTTTGCAAGTGAACAGCTTCTTGCTCTTCCTAACCAACAATGTTTCGCGATGCATTTCCCCATTGGCATGAGCTGGCTGAAAGATGGGCAAAGCCATGGTCTTGTGGTTATGCAAAGGGCTTTGGCCGCCAGCTGGGCAAATAGGCTTGCATGTGCACGTGCGGGCGTCGCTGCGCTAGGCGCCGCTTCATGGCGTGCCACGCCTCAAGTGCCAAGTGGGGCACAGTTACGGAATGAGAAGTCACCCGCCAATGGTGTCATGCCGGGTGTGGTGAGAAGGACTCCGGGGGGCAGGAACCTGTAAAGCATACAGGATCGAGCAATGTGTGGTTCGCTTCCTGGGGAAGGTGGCACGCCTTACGTAGTGCCGTCAAGGCAGGCTTTCTTTCGGAAAAGGCGCCGCCATGATCACGACTTCTTAGTGCAATTGCGTTGACTGTGTGGTGTTTTGGTTTCGAGGCTTGACCCGAACCATGTGACAGTAGTTCTTGCCGCGCAGAAGTCGCGTTGCGCGCAGCTCACCCCCGACAAAACGTTCATGGGGAGCTCCAAAGCTGAGCATGTGCAAAGGACAACCTGGCCCATGACCAAAACCTTGGAATGGCCAAGCGCCAAGCCTTCTGAACCAACTCAACACCAGTCATGTTGAATTGCTGCTCGCCGCTTGGGCAGCAGGATTTGATGGCGATGATGATGTAATCCAACTCGAAGGATCTGGCTGGTCTTTGGTGTGACGGTGTTACCCCTTAGAAACATAAATGGGTTTGCCATTAAACCGAAAGAAGACTAGACCTTTGGCGGGGGGAAGAGCAACCCAGTAGTGTAGCAGGAGCTGAATGTTCGCAGATATCATTCATGGGGTTCTCCAAGACATGTTCATATTTTTTGCACCTGACGTGCCACAAGGAAAGGCTTTGGTCGTTGGGTCACGGCTTATGCAAGTTGTGCGAGGAAAAAATCAGGCACAGCTGTGCTCTCAGCGGCAACAGTGGCACTAGGTGACACTTGTACTGGCATTCAGCCACTTTCTGTTAAAATCCCAATGACTGCATTTCGCATAAACATGCGGACAGGCACATTGATTGGCTTGCCATTTGCAACCCGTGCGTGTTAGTGTCTTTGATCAGGAAGCAGCACAACCAACACAGGGAGCAGTGCAACAGTCTTGCAAGCTGCGTTTCATTCAAAGCCGCCTGCTGTCACGCATGCAGACACACACACACACACACCCACCCACCCACCCACCCACCCACCCACCCACCCACCCACCCACCCACCCACCCACCCACCCACCCACCCACCCACCCACCCACCCACCCACCCACCCACCCACCCACCCACCCACCCACCCACCCACCCACCCACCCACCCACCCACCCACCCACCCACCCACCACACCCACCCACCCACCAACCCACCCACCCACCCACCCACCCACCCACCACCCACCCACCCACCCACCCACCCACCCACCCACCCACCCACCCAAACCACCCACCCACCCACCCACGCACGCACGCACGCACGCACGCACGCACGCACGCACGCACGCACGCACGCACGCACGCACGCACGCACGCACGCACGCACGCACGCACGCACACGCACACACCAGGATTATCGCTTGCAAAGGCAAGTGTGCCCAGCAAGGAGTGTAGCATGTGAAGCTTCATGCCAGTCTTGGATCACTTAGCTCATTCAGGCGTGTCCCCATTCCCAATGTGTCCCCAAGTGGTGAGCTTTCCTTAGTGAAGAGAACACAACGCAGGTCACGGGCCTAGACTCCAAATGCCTTGGAACCGAGGCGAGATGTGTAACGTGGAGGGTGCCTTAAAAGACACCCGCCATCACCATCATCATTAGCATCGTCGTCATCACCATTGTCATCTTCTCATCATCTCACCATATCCATTCAAAAGGGTCGAAGCATGGGACCTGCCAACAATTCTCTACATTCTGCCAATGATCAGGCTACCTGTTGGTCCCCTCGAAAACCAATGTGATGACACAACTTAGAAAGAAATCCACCCCACCCCACCCCACGTGCCTTATTCCATCCCATGCGCACAAACTTAGGTGGGACAGGGTCGGACATGTCTAAATCCTTGTCAAGTTGTCGGGGCTTTCAAGAGGGCGAGGGCTTGCCAGCCGAGGTCCTGCTCGTGGGGCGGCCTGGTGCGGCGGTTGTTTGGATTGGGGATCACGGTTCAGCATGGCCTCCCTTTCGTTTTGGAAAAACGCGCATGCACTCCTGGGAATCGTAAGATGTTTGAACTACTTTTGGCAGATTGGGAGGTTGTCGCCAGTTTTGGTGCCTCCGATGTCATTTCACAGTTTAAGGTCGACTAAATATGAACCAGAATCTGAACACATGAACTTTGGCATTTCCTGGTGTTGGGCTAAAGATAGTAACGTGATGGCACCGGGTGGTTTCAACAGAATCGATGCCGTTTCTGCAATTGCAAGTTTCTCCCGGCCTCATTGCCGGGTCCTAGTCCTAGGCACCCCTGTTGCCGACGCGGAGTGAGGAGCCTTCTTGAGCAATCATTTGTGCAACGCTTCCTTTTGATGTTCTATGTATATGGGGGTGTCTTCTTTTTGGGAGAGGTTTATTTTTAAAGGGCGGCCAAAGGGACAACCACATTTTCGGGGTCCCCTACTCTTTGAGACAAGCCTATAAAAACGTAAATGGTTGCACATATATATATATATACATATAGATATGTATACATATTCTTGGTGTGGCCATGTGCTTGCCCCTCTCCGGCACCTCAACATTTGTTTCATTGCGGCAGGAGTGTGTCCTTCTAAAATGAACTGTCAGTTGCTAGGGGAGAAGTAGACGGCACCAGGATGTAGGTGGAGTGAAGTGCTGCCCCCAGCACCTCTCGATGGTAGCCCAATCTTTTGGCTTACGCCTTAGGTTGTAGAAGCAAGTCACCCCCAATGCCATTCGCATGGAAGCGTGAAACAGTATCTGTGCAAGAAGCGTTTTTCCATGGAATGCATGACGTGTAATAGAGTTCCATGTGAAAGTGTTAAGGGCAGTGCGGCACCTGAGGTTCATCACCTCACTTGCGAGATTGGGCCCCTTTGCAGCTTGGTTTTAGCTGGAAACCAAAAACAAACTGACGCACCTTTTGGGGGCTATGGTCCGCTCGTGAAGTTGCTTCCCTTGAGTGACTTCCTGGCCCCATGCACATCCCAGCACCCCGGCACCCGGGACGTGTCCGAGGCTCGCAATTCCTGGGCGGCTGCCAAAGATGCAGGCCTGTGATGTGACGCTGGTGATTGCATTTTGAGGCTCTCAAAGTCACTTGTCGAGCGTGGTCTGAGTTTCAAAGAACCACTTGGGGGGTAAGC